GCTTTACATGGTGAGTCGATGTGGTGTGGTTACATGGTAACCCTACTTCTATGATGGTGATGCTGCTGGGGTACTGCATTGGGGGCGATCAGCGGCTGCTCGTGTATGAGTTCGTGCCCAACGGAACTCTGGATGAAGCTTTACATGGTGAGTCGATGTGGTGTGGTTACATGGTAACCCTACTTCTATGATGGTGATGCTGCTGGGGTACTGCATTGGGGGCGATCAGCGGCTGCTCGTGTATGAGTTCGTGCCCAACGGAACTCTGGATGAAGCTTTACATGGTGAGTCGATGTGGTGTGGTTACATGGTAACCCTACTTCTATGATGGTGATGCTGCTGGGGTACTGCATTGGGGGCGATCAGCGGCTGCTCGTGTATGAGTTCGTGCCCAACGGAACTCTGGATGAAGCTTTACATGGTGAGTCGATGTGGTGTGGTTACATGGTAACCCTACTTCTATGATGGTGATGCTGCTGGGGTACTGCATTGGGGGCGATCAGCGGCTGCTCGTGTATGAGTTCGTGCCCAACGGAACTCTGGATGAAGCTTTACATGGTGAGTCGATGTGGTGTGGTTACATGGTAACCCTACTTCTATGATGGTGATGCTGCTGGGGTACTGCATTGGGGGCGATCAGCGGCTGCTCGTGTATGAGTTCGTGCCCAACGGAACTCTGGATGAAGCTTTACATGGTGAGTCGATGTGGTGTGGTTACATGGTAACCCTACTTCTATGATGGTGATGCTGCTGGGGTACTGCATTGGGGGCGATCAGCGGCTGCTCGTGTATGAGTTCGTGCCCAACGGAACTCTGGATGAAGCTTTACATGGTGAGTCGATGTGGTGTGGTTACATGGTAACCCTACTTCTATGATGGTGATGCTGCTGGGGTACTGCATTGGGGGCGATCAGCGGCTGCTCGTGTATGAGTTCGTGCCCAACGGAACTCTGGATGAAGCTTTACATGGTGAGTCGATGTGGTGTGGTTACATGGTAACCCTACTTCTATGATGGTGATGCTGCTGGGGTACTGCATTGGGGGCGATCAGCGGCTGCTCGTGTATGAGTTCGTGCCCAACGGAACTCTGGATGAAGCTTTACATGGTGAGTCGATGTGGTGTGGTTACATGGTAACCCTACTTCTATGATGGTGATGCTGCTGGGGTACTGCATTGGGGGCGATCAGCGGCTGCTCGTGTATGAGTTCGTGCCCAACGGAACTCTGGATGAAGCTTTACATGGTGAGTCGATGTGGTGTGGTTACATGGTAACCCTACTTCTATGATGGTGATGCTGCTGGGGTACTGCATTGGGGGCGATCAGCGGCTGCTCGTGTATGAGTTCGTGCCCAACGGAACTCTGGATGAAGCTTTACATGGTGAGTCGATGTGGTGTGGTTACATGGTAACCCTACTTCTATGATGGTGATGCTGCTGGGGTACTGCATTGGGGGCGATCAGCGGCTGCTGGTGTATGAGTTCGTGCCCAACGGAACTCTGGATGAAGCTTTACATGGTGAGTCGATGTGGTGTGGTTACATGGTAACCCTACTTCTATGATGGTGATGCTGCTGGGGTACTGCATTGGGGGCGATCAGCGGCTGCTGGTGTATGAATTCGTGCCGAACGGAACTCTGGACGAAGCGTTGCACGGTGAGTCGATGTGGTGTGGTTACATGGTAACCCTACTTCTATGATGGTGATGCTGCTGGGGTACTGCATTGGGGGCGATCAGCGGCTGCTGGTGTATGAGTTCGTGCCCAACGGAACTCTGGACGAAGCTTTACACGGTGAGTCGATGTGGTGTGGTTACATGGTAACCCTACTTCTATGATGGTGATGCTGCTGGGGTACTGCATTGGGGGCGATCAGCGGCTGCTCGTGTATGAGTTCGTGCCCAACGGAACTCTGGATGAAGCTTTACATGGTGAGTCGATGTGGTGTGGTTACATGGTAACCCTACTTCTATGATGGTGATGCTGCTGGGGTACTGCATTGGGGGCGATCAGCGGCTGCTCGTGTATGAGTTCGTGCCCAACGGAACTCTGGATGAAGCTTTACATGGTGAGTCGATGTGGTGTGGTTACATGGTAACCCTACTTCTATGATGGTGATGCTGCTGGGGTACTGCATTGGGGGCGATCAGCGGCTGCTCGTGTATGAGTTCGTGCCCAACGGAACTCTGGATGAAGCTTTACATGGTGAGTCGATGTGGTGTGGTTACATGGTAACCCTACTTCTATGATGGTGATGCTGCTGGGGTACTGCATTGGGGGCGATCAGCGGCTGCTCGTGTATGAGTTCGTGCCCAACGGAACTCTGGATGAAGCTTTACATGGTGAGTCGATGTGGTGTGGTTACATGGTAACCCTACTTCTATGATGGTGATGCTGCTGGGGTACTGCATTGGGGGCGATCAGCGGCTGCTCGTGTATGAGTTCGTGCCCAACGGAACTCTGGATGAAGCTTTACATGGTGAGTCGATGTGGTGTGGTTACATGGTAACCCTACTTCTATGATGGTGATGCTGCTGGGGTACTGCATTGGGGGCGATCAGCGGCTGCTCGTGTATGAGTTCGTGCCCAACGGAACTCTGGATGAAGCTTTACATGGTGAGTCGATGTGGTGTGGTTACATGGTAACCCTACTTCTATGATGGTGATGCTGCTGGGGTACTGCATTGGGGGCGATCAGCGGCTGCTCGTGTATGAGTTCGTGCCCAACGGAACTCTGGATGAAGCTTTACATGGTGAGTCGATGTGGTGTGGTTACATGGTAACCCTACTTCTATGATGGTGATGCTGCTGGGGTACTGCATCGGGGGCGATCAGCGGCTGCTCGTGTATGAGTTCGTGCCCAACGGAACTCTGGATGAAGCTTTACATGGTGAGTCGATGTGGTGTGGTTACATGGTAACCCTACTTCTATGATGGTGATGCTGCTGGGGTACTGCATTGGGGGCGATCAGCGGCTGCTCGTGTATGAGTTCGTGCCCAACGGAACTCTGGATGAAGCTTTACATGGTGAGTCGATGTGGTGTGGTTACATGGTAACCCTACTTCTATGATGGTGATGCTGCTGGGGTACTGCATTGGGGGCGATCAGCGGCTGCTCGTGTATGAGTTCGTGCCCAACGGAACTCTGGATGAAGCTTTACATGGTGAGTCGATGTGGTGTGGTTACATGGTAACCCTACTTCTATGATGGTGATGCTGCTGGGGTACTGCATTGGGGGCGATCAGCGGCTGCTCGTGTATGAGTTCGTGCCCAACGGAACTCTGGATGAAGCTTTACATGGTGAGTCGATGTGGTGTGGTTACATGGTAACCCTACTTCTATGATGGTGATGCTGCTGGGGTACTGCATTGGGGGCGATCAGCGGCTGCTCGTGTATGAGTTCGTGCCCAACGGAACTCTGGATGAAGCTTTACATGGTGAGTCGATGTGGTGTGGTTACATGGTAACCCTACTTCTATGATGGTGATGCTGCTGGGGTACTGCATTGGGGGCGATCAGCGGCTGCTCGTGTATGAGTTCGTGCCCAACGGAACTCTGGATGAAGCTTTACATGGTGAGTCGATGTGGTGTGGTTACATGGTAACCCTACTTCTATGATGGTGATGCTGCTGGGGTACTGCATTGGGGGCGATCAGCGGCTGCTCGTGTATGAGTTCGTGCCCAACGGAACTCTGGATGAAGCTTTACATGGTGAGTCGATGTGGTGTGGTTACATGGTAACCCTACTTCTATGATGGTGATGCTGCTGGGGTACTGCATTGGGGGCGATCAGCGGCTGCTCGTGTATGAGTTCGTGCCCAACGGAACTCTGGATGAAGCTTTACATGGTGAGTCGATGTGGTGTGGTTACATGGTAACCCTACTTCTATGATGGTGATGCTGCTGGGGTACTGCATTGGGGGCGATCAGCGGCTGCTCGTGTATGAGTTCGTGCCCAACGGAACTCTGGATGAAGCTTTACATGGTGAGTCGATGTGGTGTGGTTACATGGTAACCCTACTTCTATGATGGTGATGCTGCTGGGGTACTGCATTGGGGGCGATCAGCGGCTGCTCGTGTATGAGTTCGTGCCCAACGGAACTCTGGATGAAGCTTTACATGGTGAGTCGATGTGGTGTGGTTACATGGTAACCCTACTTCTATGATGGTGATGCTGCTGGGGTACTGCATTGGGGGCGATCAGCGGCTGCTCGTGTATGAGTTCGTGCCCAACGGAACTCTGGATGAAGCTTTACATGGTGAGTCGATGTGGTGTGGTTACATGGTAACCCTACTTCTATGATGGTGATGCTGCTGGGGTACTGCATTGGGGGCGATCAGCGGCTGCTCGTGTATGAGTTCGTGCCCAACGGAACTCTGGATGAAGCTTTACATGGTGAGTCGATGTGGTGTGGTTACATGGTAACCCTACTTCTATGATGGTGATGCTGCTGGGGTACTGCATTGGGGGCGATCAGCGGCTGCTCGTGTATGAGTTCGTGCCCAACGGAACTCTGGATGAAGCTTTACATGGTGAGTCGATGTGGTGTGGTTACATGGTAACCCTACTTCTATGATGGTGATGCTGCTGGGGTACTGCATTGGGGGCGATCAGCGGCTGCTCGTGTATGAGTTCGTGCCCAACGGAACTCTGGATGAAGCTTTACATGGTGAGTCGATGTGGTGTGGTTACATGGTAACCCTACTTCTATGATGGTGATGCTGCTGGGGTACTGCATTGGGGGCGATCAGCGGCTGCTCGTGTATGAGTTCGTGCCCAACGGAACTCTGGATGAAGCTTTACATGGTGAGTCGATGTGGTGTGGTTACATGGTAACCCTACTTCTATGATGGTGATGCTGCTGGGGTACTGCATCGGGGGCGATCAGCGGTTGCTCGTGTATGAGTTCGTGCCGAATGGGATTCTGGAGGAAGCATTACACGGCGAGTCAATGATAATGGGGTTACATGGTAACTGCTTTCTGCGTGAAACCTGGTTGCGATGTCTGGTGCATCAGTAGGGGTATCAGTAGGGTGCACCATAGGTATCTGGTGATCCTGCCGGGGTACTGCATTGGGGACGATCAGCGGCTGCTGGTGTATGAGTTTGTGCTGAATGGGACTTTGGATGACGCTTTACATGGTGAGGCGATGATGCCATGGTTACGTGGTAACGAACGTCCGTCTGTTATGTGGCAACGTGTTTCTTTTACATGGTAACATATTTAAATGGTGTCGTTACTTGTCTCTGGGGTATTGCGTTCCTCTCCTCTCTCTCCTCTTCTCTCCCCCTCTCATTGCTTGCTCCTCTACATCCAACCTCTTGCTCTTACCCTCTCCTCTCCCCTCACACCCCTCCTCCCCTCCACCTGCCGTCCTCTCCTCTCACCTCTCCTCTTTCCCTGTCCCACCCCTCTCCACGCCACCCTTCAGGCAAGAACGCGCCAGTGATGAGCTGGGCTTTAAGAATGAAGGTGGCCATAGGAGCGGCTAAGGGGCTGGCCTACCTGCACGAGGACTGTGAGTCACCCCTGTGTCACAGTCACCCCATGTGTCACAGTCACCCCATGTGTCACAGTCACCCCATGTGTCACAGTCACCCCATGTGTCACAGTCACCCCATGTGTCACAGTCACCCCATGCGTTACAGTCACCCATGCGTTACAGTCACCCCATGCGTCACAGTCACCCCATGACTGCTATACCAGCTGGCCTACCTGCACGAGGACTGTGAGTCACCCCACCCGTGCAGCCCTGTGTTAAGTCATTCTGTGTGTCCTAGCTATTGTCACTCCCTCTGCTAAGGGGCTGGCCTACCTGCACGAGGACTGTGAGTCGGGCGACCCTGTATTGTCACTCCGTGCGTTATTGTCACTCCGTGCGTTATTGTCACTCCGTGCGTTATTGTCACTCCGTGCGTTATAGTCACTCCGTGCGTTATAGTCACTCCGTGCGTTATAGTCACTCCGTGCGTTATAGTCACTCCGTGCGTTATAGTCACTCCGTGCGTTATAGTCATTCTGTGCGTTACAGTCGCTCCGTGTGTCCTACTATATTCTCTTTGTCTGCTAACGGGCTGTCCTCCTCCCTACCAACATGACCGACCCTGCTCCTCCTTTGAGTCACGCTGCGTTGTAGTAACCCCGCGCGTTACTCTGTTATAGTGAAACCCTGCGTTTCAGTCACCCTGTGCATAGTAATCTCCCGACCTTTCTTTATAGTCAAATCCATTTCTTCGTTTCAGCCACCCGTGTTTCTGTGTGCTACCGGACTGGCTTGGTTGATTCACGCTGTTCCTCCGTTTTAGTCACGATGGCATACCATCCCACCCCATCCCTCATCCCACCACATACTACCACGTCCCACTTCGTCCCAATCCCATCTCATCCCATCTCATCCCACCTTGTCCCACCGTATCCCACCCCGTCCCACCGCGTTCCAACCTGTTCCAACCCGTCCTACCCCGCCCCACCGCATCCCACCGCATCAGGCCATCCGCGCATCATTCATCGCGACATCAAGTCGTCCAACATCCTGCTCGACCAGCAGTACGAGGCTCAGGTGAGAATGTTATCCTCGTTATAAGGTGCATTCTCGCTATAAGCATGATGTCCAACTGGCATCGAGTCATTAATTCTTTCTTGCTGGACTTTCAGAAAAGGCACACCTGCAAGTACCCTAATCAAGAAACTGAGACACTGATATACTCGTTATTTACCAAAATTTTGTTCGCTATACGAGACGAGAGAATCTTTGTTGTCCCCCATCTCCCCCTAGTTGGCCCATGTTACGCTTCGTTACCCTCATCACCCCTGGTTACCCAACCTTGCCTTTCCTTACCCCACATTGCCCCTCGTTACCCCTCCCCTTGGCACCCCTCATTACTCCTTATCACCCCTCGTCACCGCTCTACTCCCCCATTCGTGCATCGCAGGTGGCGGATTTCGGACTGGCCAAGCTGGCAACTGAGGGAGCCACTCACGTGTCGACACGTGTCATGGGGACGTTCGGGTGAGTGGCATTTGGTAACGGGAGTTCTTTGCAAGTGGTTGCTTTCTTGGGGCGTCTTTTAAAAAAAAGCGTCTTTGTGCTGCTGCTGGTAATGGGTCGTGTTTTGAGTCGACTCAAAACACGACTCATTTGGTAACGGGAGTGCTTTGCAAGTGGTTGCTTGGGGCGGTTATAAAAAAAGGTGCTGATTACACTTTGGACGAGGTGACTTTTGAGTCGACTCAACAGCCACCTTGTTCGGGTGAGGGGCATGGGGCAAGGGGAGTGGTCTGCAAGTCCTTGCATGGTTTTTGAGGCGCCTAAAAAGTCACCCCAATGGCAAGGGGAGTGTTTGCAAGTGGTTGGTTGCTTGGGGCGTTTATAAAGATTGTGCACCATGTGCTGCTCTGCTCTGCTCTGCTCTGCTCACACATGGAATTGCCTCGTCTCCTCTCCCTTCCCCCTCCCTCACCCATCCCACTTATTTCCCTTCCGGCTCTCCCCCACCCCTCAGCTACCTGGCACCAGAGTACGCCATGCCATGAGTGGCAAGCTCACAGACTAGTCGGCCGTGTTCCCCATGCTCTTGCGCTTACTCTTCCCCTCTCCCCACCCCTCAGCTACCTGGCACCAGAGTACGCCATGAGTGGCAAGCTCACAGACAAGTCGGACGTGTCAGCTGATTGCCACCGCTTCTTTCCCCACTTCCCTGCCCCTTCACCTCCCTTTGTGCCCTCCCCCTTTCCTCCCCCAAACAGCTACCTGGCACCAGAGTACGCCATGAGTGGCAAGCTCACAGACAAGTCGGACGTGTTCTCCTTCGGAGTGGTGCTGCTGGAGCTGGTGACGGGGCGCAAGCCGGTGGACACTACACAGCCCCCGGGCAAAGAGAGCCTTGTGGAATGGGTGAGTTGCTGCTTTGAGTTTCCATTAGCCTCGTGTGTTCTCCTTCGGAGTGGTGTTGCTGGAGCTGGTGACAGGGCACAAACCAGTGGATACCACACAGCCGCCCGGAAAAGAGAGCCTTGTCGAATGGGTGAGCTGCTTTGCTTGTTGTGTCATCGCTTCTCTGCCTGCCTGGCTTGACTCTCGCTCTTTCTCTCTCTCCTTCGGAGTAATGTTGCTGGAGCTGCTAACAGGGCGCAAGCCGGTGGGCACCACACAGCCGCCCGGAAAAGAAATCCTCGATTCGGGTCTACTTAGTCCCGCCCTCTGCTCGCAAGCAACCAGGTGGATGCGCGGCTGGAGGGGCGGTACGCCGAGGAGGAGATGGAGGAAATGAGTACAATTGTGCCCCTAAACCCCTGCCTGCTTCTCTCTTGTTGCCCCTTGCTGCTCGTCCCCCAGTCCTGCCCTCTCCTCGCCAGCAACCAGGTGGACGTGCTGGTGGATGCGCGGCTGGAGGGGCGGTATGATGAGGAGGAGATGGAAGGAAGGGCAGATGGGCCCTCTTTGTCTCTTGACCACTGTGTGCTCCTCTCTTTCTGCCCATGCCCCCAGTCCCGCCCGCTGCTAGCCAGCAACCAGGTGGACGTGCTGGTGGATGCGCGGCTGGAGGGGCGGTACGAGGAGGAGGAGATGGAAGGAGGGAGGGGCAGATGGGCATCTCCTTGTCCCCTTGACCACTGTCTGTTCCTCTCTTGTTGTTCCCCTGGTTCCCCTGGCAGTCCCGCCCGCTGCTAGCCAGCAACCAGGTAGATGTGCTGGTGGATGCTCGGCTGGAGGGGCGGTACGAGGAGGAGGAGATGGAGAGGGCGATTGCCACCGCTGCGCTGTGTGTGCGGCACTCGGCCAACCTGCGACCCAAGATGGGGCAGGTGAGAGTGAGGAGGGAGGGATGGGAGGGCAATGGGCATGGGGTTATGCAGAGAGGGCGAAGGGGGGTGGGAGACCCACGATGGGGCAGGTGAGAGAGGAGTAGGGGATGAGGCGATGAGAGGGAGGGGGGATGGGAGGGGAGGGACAAAAGCGGGGGCGATGGGCTAAGAGGGAGGGGCTGAGAGCAGATGGAATGAGCGACCGCAACCGCTGCTCTGTGTGTGTGGCATTGCTCCAATCTGCTACCCAAGATGGGGCAGGTGAGGTGGTGGAAGGGGAGGAGGACTAAAAAAATCACTGTACACACGAGGTGGTGGGAGGGGAGGAGGACTAAAAAAATCACTGTACACACGAGGTGGTGGGAGGGGAGGAGGACTAAAAAAATCACTGTACACACGAGGTGGTGGGAGGGGAGGAGGACTAAAAAAATCACTGTACACACGAGGTGGTGGGAGGGGAGGAGGACTAAAAAAATCACTGTACACACGAGGTGGTGGGAGGGGAGGAGGACTAAAAAAATCACTGTACACACGAGGTGGTGGGAGGGGAGGAGGACTAAAAAAATCACTGTACACACGAGGTGGTGGGAGGGGAGGAGGACTAAAAAAATCACTGTACACACGAGGTGGTGGGAGGGGAGGAGGACTAAAAAAATCACTGTACACACGAGGTGGTGGGAGGGGAGGAGGACTAAAAAAATCACTGTACACACGAGGTGGTGGGAGGGGAGGAGGACTAAAAAAATCACTGTACACACGAGGTGGTGGGAGGGGAGGAGGACTAAAAAAATCACTGTACACACGAGGTGGTGGGAGGGGAGGAGGACTAAAAAAATCACTGTACACACGAGGTGGTGGGAGGGGAGGAGGACTAAAAAAATCACTGTACACACGAGGTGGTGGGAGGGGAGGAGGACTAAAAAAATCACTGTACACACGAGGTGGTGGGAGGGGAGGAGGACTAAAAAAATCACTGTACACACGAGGTGGTGGGAGGGGAGGAGGACTAAAAAAATCACTGTACACACGAGGTGGTGGGAGGGGAGGAGGACTAAAAAAATCACTGTACACACGAGGTGGTGGGAGGGGAGGACTAAAAAAATCACTGTACACACGAGGTGGTGGGAGGGGAGGAGTACTAAAAAAATCACTGTACACACGAGGTGGTGGGAGGGGAGGACTAAAAAAATCACTGTACACACGAGGTGGTGGGAGGGGAGGAGTACTAAAAAAATCACTGTACACACGAGGTGGTGGGAGGGGAGGAGGACTAAAAACATCACTGTACACACGAGGTGGTGGGAGGGGAGGAGGACTAAAAAAATCACTGTACACACGAGGTGGTGGGAGGGGAGGAGGACTAAAAAAATCACTGTACACACGAGGTGGTGGGAGGGGAGGAGGACTAAAAAAATCACTGTACACACGAGGTGGTGGGAGGGGAGGAGGACTAAAAAAATCACTGTACACACGAGGTGGTGGGAGGGGAGGAGGACTAAAAAAATCACTGTACACACGAGGTGGTGGGAGGGGAGGACTAAAAAAATCACTGTACACACGAGGTGGTGGGAGGGGAGGAGGACTAAAAAAATCACTGTACACACGAGGTGGTGGGAGGGGAGGACTAAAAAAATCACTGTACACACGAGGTGGTGGGAGGGGAGGAGGACTAAAAAAATCACTGTACACACGAGGTGGTGGGAGGGGAGGAGGACTAAAAAAATCACTGTACACACGAGGTGGTGGGAGGGGAGGAGGACTAAAAAAATCACTGTACACACGAGGTGGTGGGAGGGGAGGAGGACTAAAAAAATCACTGTACACACGAGGTGGTGGGAGGGGAGGAGGACTAAAAAAATCACTGTACACACGAGGTGGTGGGAGGGGAGGAGGACTAAAAAAATCACTGTACACACGAGGTGGTGGGAGGGGAGGAGGACTAAAAAAATCACTGTACACACGAGGTGGTGGGAGGGGAGGAGGACTAAAAAAATCACTGTACACACGAGGTGGTGGGAGGGGAGGAGGACTAAAAAAATCACTGTACACACGAGGTGGTGGGAGGGGAGGAGGACTAAAAAAATCACTGTACACACGAGGTGGTGGGAGGGGAGGAGGACTAAAAAAATCACTGTACACACGAGGTGGTGGGAGGGGAGGAGGACTAAAAAAATCACTGTACACACGAGGTGGTGGGAGGGGAGGAGGACTAAAAAAATCACTGTACACACGAGGTGGTGGGAGGGGAGGAGGACTAAAAAAATCACTGTACACACGAGGTGGTGGGAGGGGAGGAGGACTAAAAAAATCACTGTACACACGAGGTGGTGGGAGGGGAGGAGGACTAAAAAAATCACTGTACACACGAGGTGGTGGGAGGGGAGGAGGACTAAAAAAATCACTGTACACACGAGGTGGTGGGAGGGGAGGAGGACTAAAAAAATCACTGTACACACGAGGTGGTGGGAGGGGAGGAGGACTAAAAAAATCACTGTACACACGAGGTGGTGGGAGGGGAGGAGGACTAAAAAAATCACTGTACACACGAGGTGGTGGGAGGGGAGGAGGACTAAAAAAATCACTGTACACACGAGGTGGTGGGAGGGGAGGAGGACTAAAAAAATCACTGTACACACGAGGTGGTGGGAGGGGAGGAGGACTAAAAAAATCACTGTACACACGAGGTGGTGGGAGGGGAGGAGGACTAAAAAAATCACTGTACACACGAGGTGGTGGGAGGGGAGGAGGACTAAAAAAATCACTGTACACACGAGGTGGTGGGAGGGGAGGAGGACTAAAAAAATCACTGTACACACGAGGTGGTGGGAGGGGAGGAGGACTAAAAAAATCACTGTACACACGAGGTGGTGGGAGGGGAGGAGGACTAAAAAAATCACTGTACACACGAGGTGGTGGGAGGGGAGGAGGACTAAAAAAATCACTGTACACACGAGGTGGTGGGAGGGGAGGAGGACTAAAAAAATCACTGTACACACGAGGTGGTGGGAGGGGAGGAGGACTAAAAAAATCACTGTACACACGAGGTGGTGGGAGGGGAGGAGGACTAAAAAAATCACTGTACACACGAGGTGGTGGGAGGGGAGGAGGACTAAAAAAATCACTGTACACACGAGGTGGTGGGAGGGGAGGAGGACTAAAAAAATCACTGTACACACGAGGTGGTGGGAGGGGAGGAGGACTAAAAAAATCACTGTACACACGAGGTGGTGGGAGGGGAGGAGGACTAAAAAAATCACTGTACACACGAGGTGGTGGGAGGGGAGGAGGACTAAAAAAATCACTGTACACACGAGGTGGTGGGAGGGGAGGAGGACTAAAAAAATCACTGTACACACGAGGTGGTGGGAGGGGAGGAGGACTAAAAAAATCACTGTACACACGAGGTGGTGGGAGGGGAGGAGGACTAAAAAAATCACTGTACACACGAGGTGGTGGGAGGGGAGGAGGACTAAAAAAATCACTGTACACACGAGGTGGTGGGAGGGGAGGAGGACTAAAAAAATCACTGTACACACGAGGTGGTGGGAGGGGAGGAGGACTAAAAAAATCACTGTACACACGAGGTGGTGGGAGGGGAGGAGGACTAAAAAAATCACTGTACACACGAGGTGGTGGGAGGGGAGGAGGACTAAAAAAATCACTGTACACACGAGGTGGTGGGAGGGGAGGAGGACTAAAAAAATCACTGTACACACGAGGTGGTGGGAGGGGAGGACTAAAAAAATCACTGTACACACGAGGTGGTGGGAGGGGAGGAGGACTAAAAAAATCACTGTACACACGAGGTGGTGGGAGGGGAGGACTAAAAAAATCACTGTACACACGAGGTGGTGGGAGGGGAGGAGGACTAAAAAAATCACTGTACACACGAGGTGGTGGGAGGGGAGGAGGACTAAAAAAATCACTGTACACACGAGGTGGTGGGAGGGGAGGAGGACTAAAAAAATCACTGTACACACGAGGTGGTGGGAGGGGAGGAGGACTAAAAAAATCACTGTACACACGAGGTGGTGGGAGGGGAGGAGGACTAAAAAAATCACTGTACACACGAGGTGGTGGGAGGGGAGGAGGACTAAAAAAATCACTGTACACACGAGGTGGTGGGAGGGGAGGAGGACTAAAAAAATCACTGTACACACGAGGTGGTGGGAGGGGAGGAGGACTAAAAAAATCACTGTACACACGAGGTGGTGGGAGGGGAGGAGGACTAAAAAAATCACTGTACACACGAGGTGGTGGGAGGGGAGGAGGACTAAAAAAATCACTGTACACACGAGGTGGTGGGAGGGGAGGAGGACTAAAAAAATCACTGTACACACGAGGTGGTGGGAGGGGAGGAGGACTAAAAAAATCACTGTACACACGAGGTGGTGGGAGGGGAGGAGGACTAAAAAAATCACTGTACACACGAGGTGGTGGGAGGGGAGGAGGACTAAAAAAATCACTGTACACACGAGGTGGTGGGAGGGGAGGAGGACTAAAAAAATCACTGTACACACGAGGTGGTGGGAGGGGAGGAGGACTAAAAAAATCACTGTACACACGAGGTGGTGGGAGGGGAGGAGGACTAAAAAAATCACTGTACACACGAGGTGGTGGGAGGGGAGGAGGACTAAAAAAATCACTGTACACACGAGGTGGTGGGAGGGGAGGACTAAAAAAATCACTGTACACACGAGGTGGTGGGAGGGGAGGAGGACTAAAAAAATCACTGTACACACGAGGTGGTGGGAGGGGAGGAGGACTAAAAAAATCACTGTACACACGAGGTGGTGGGAGGGGAGGAGGACTAAAAAAATCACTGTACACACGAGGTGGTGGGAGGGGAGGAGGACTAAAAAAATCACTGTACACACGAGGTGGTGGGAGGGGAGGAGGACTAAAAAAATCACTGTACACACGAGGTGGTGGGAGGGGAGGAGGACTAAAAAAATCACTGTACACACGAGGTGGTGGGAGGGGAGGAGGACTAAAAAAAT